TTCATAAAACAACCAAACAATGAAAAATATTTTTCATTAACTCCTCTAAACAACAAAAAATTTCTGTCAATTCAAAAAATGTAAACATTTTCCATAAATCATTTTTCGTAAATCATTTTTTACGAAACAAATGGAGCCTAAATTGAGACTAAATTTAAAAAATTCTTAAATAATGACCAAATTTCAAAATTTCATAAATTAGGAGCAAATCTCAAGAATCCTTAAATTATGATCATATTTTAAAATTTTCAATACTTCTTAAATTTTGAGATACATTCCAAGATCTTAGGAAAACCTCTAACTTTTGGTCTAAATTTATTTAATTCAAGATCACATCGTCAAGATTTTTGCAATGAATTTTTGCTAAAAATAAATTTATTTAATTCAAGATTAAATCATCAAACCTTTGAAGCGAAATTCTGCTATAACAAATTTATTCAATTAAAATCAAATCATCAAGGCCCTTAAAATGAATTTCTACTCAAAAACAAATTTATTCATTTCAAAATAAATTTTTCAGACACTTAAAGCAATTTTTTATGAAATAAAAAATCAAAGAACTTTTTATTTTGAGAATTTTTAAAGACTGTGATTGAAGTGATAAATAAAATTATTATGTCTCTAATTTTTTTAGTTCTATTTTTGTCTCAAAATTTGTGTACTAACAAATTTTGAGTTGAAAAGTAAACTAAGAAATTAGAGATAAATAATAGTTTATTTATCATATATGAAATTTATAATCTTTGAAAATTCTTAAAATGAAAAAATATATATTTGAATATTTTCTTCACAAACATTTCACTTCAAGTGTCTTGATGATTTTATGTTAAATTGAATAAATTTGTTTTTTAACAAAAATTTGCTTCAAGAGTCTTGACGACTAGATCTTAAATTGAATATAATTATTCTTTAGTAGAAATTTGCTTCAAAAATCTTGATGAGTTGATATTGAATTGAATAATTGTTTTTCATAAAAAATTTCCTTCAAGCTTTTGGATGACTTGATCTTGAATTGAATAAATTTGATCTTAAACAAAACTTCACTTAAAACACTTTATCTTGAAATGAATAAATTTCCTCTTTAGCAAAAATTCAATTCAATGGTCTTGATGACTTGATCTTGAATTAAATTAATTTGGAGCCAAAATTTTAAGTTTTAAGCTCTTGAAATTTAATCTCAAAATTTTTAAACTCTAAAAAATCTTGAAATTTGATTTCAATTTAGGGACACTTAAAATTTACTCACAATATAAGAATTCTTGGAATTTGATCTCAATTTAAGAATTTTTGGAATTTGATCCCAAATTAAGATTTCTTTTGTTTTGCTAAAATTAAAATTGACTTTCAAAAAATACTTTCTAAAAAATGTTTATATTTTCTAAAAAAGTAAAGATTTTCTATTGTTTGAATTAATTAATGAAAAATGTTTTCAATTTTTTGGTTGTTTCTAAAAAATCTATTTCTTTTTTAACTAAAATTAATATAACTATTCAAAAATTACAAATTATTTATTAATAAAGTATATTGAAATTATTAAATTCAAGAATAATTATATTTTAATAAAATAATAAAACAATTTATTATTTTTTTATTAATATTTTAAAATATTTAAAATAGTAATACTATTCTTAAAATATTTTTTTTATTATTAAAATATTTATATTTTATATTGAAAGTATCTATTATTAAATCATAACAAAAATTTTTTATTTATATTTATTATTAAAATAGTAATATAAATACCTTAATGAATAAATATATAAAATTATGTATTTTAAACTTAAAAATAATAAAAAATATTAAAATATTTATATTAAGAATATAATATTATTAGATTATTTAAGATTAATTATTAAAATAATAAAAATATTATAATGTATGTTATTATTTATTAAAACAATAATATAATACTATTTATATAAAATGCTAAAAATATTTATGTTTTTAATATACAAAATTAAAATATTTAAAATTAAAATATCTAAAGACTTTTAATGTAAATATTTTTATTTTTTTAATTAAAATTAAACAAAAATATTATTATTAATATAATAATATTTTAAATTGAATCAAATAAAATTTGAACTTAAAATATTATGTTCAAAGTCTTACTTGAGTAAAATTATAAAATATTTAATATTAAAACATTAAAAGACTTTTAATATTGATATTTTAAAATTTTAAGTAAAATTAAATAAAACCATTATTTATTAATATAATAATATTTTGATCAAGTAAAATTAAATTTGAGCTACAAAATCATGTACAAGATCCAATTTAAGTAAAATTATACTCAAACATATTGATAAGCAATTCTACTCATATATAGTTCTTTTTCAAAAATTCTTTTTTCCTATAAAACAATTTTCAAAAAAATTACCTTATTTTCTATTGACCAATAAGTCATTTTTTGTCAATCACTTAGTTTTCTGCCAAAAACCTAAAATTGCAAAATCATTTTACGAAAGTCGTTTTCTACGAAAAAAAACCCACCCTAAAAATTCTTGAAATTTGATCTTAATTTAAAAATTTTTAAATTGGGTCACAATTTAAAAATTCTCGAAATTTGATTTCAATTTAGAAATTTTTTTTTCAATTTAAAAATCTTGAATCTTCATGCCTTGATTCTTCAAATTTTCTCTTCTCTTAATTATCTTCTTAAATTTGTTTGTTGGAATCCATTTATTCTTCAAATCTTTCATCTTAGGATTTTAAGAATTTTGGAGACTTTGATTTTTCATACATTATGTTCTCCATTTGTTTTCCTAAATTTATTTGTTGAAATTCTTAAGACTTTATTTTTAGATCTTTCCTCTTGCACTTGTAGTAGTTCTTATTTCCCTAGTTATGTTCTTAATCTTCATTCTTGAACTTGTGAGAGTTCTAAGACTTGCTCACATCTTTTATTTCCCATTTGTCTTTAGATCTTTCTTTCCCTAAATTGTATTTCAAAAAGCTTAAAAAATAATTCCTATTTATAGTACCAAGTGATGCAAGTGAGAGAATTCTAAAAAAACAACTTAGCTTCTTTGATTTTATCTCCAAATTCCTTTGATTTAACTAGAGGTATTGAAGAAGACTCAATGATGAAATCCATAAAAATTTGGGAATTTGATTGATTAGAGTTTGATTTTACTTCTAAATTATTTTAATTCATCTACAGATAAAACTAATGAAAAACTAATGATTCATGAGAAAATTTTAATTGGTTGAATTAAAAGTATTTAGATTTTGATAGACCAAACCACATGTTTTATCTTGATTTACATGTAACTTCATAAAATTTCGATTAATTTATTTAATAACACAAAAAAAATTATCACTAAATATAATTCAAAAATTCAAAAAACGTGCCACCTTATAATTGGGCAAAAAATTTTCCTTCTAAGTATTAAAATGCTATGATTAGACTAACACTTAACCTATTAATTTTTACAACCTACTTTCTTATAATTTCTACAATTAAAGGTCACGACAATTAATCATTTATTTATTTTGCTAAGATATAAGATAAATACTTAAATTACATTTAACATGAGTTTATATCTTTTTACTACAACTAATTGACAATTTTAATTTATCTTCCCAATAGGGATAAAATTGCATGTAACAACAAAAATATGGAATCAATATTCCCTCCTAATGAGTTAACTACATTAAAACTTCCATATAAATAAAGGTTTAACTGATAGTAAATAATTAATAAATTACTCAATTGATTTTGATAAAAGAATAAAAATTTATAAAACATATTTAATTAAGTATAAAGACTTATTTTGTGCTATAGCTTTTTTTAAATTAATCTATAAAGAAAATGTCTAGTTAACGGAGACATAATTGCATAAAGAAAAATACTAACTGCTAAAACCAAAAAGATAAATTGTAAAACATTGGAGAAAATACCCAATACATAGTTACTAAAATAAATATTTACCAATTTTCGAAATTTTTTTTCAAATTAAATTTTATAACTAAAATTATTAAATTAATTAATAATATTGCCTTGACATAATTCATCATATAAACAAAAATTATTTATCATTATAGTTAAGGTTAATAACATAAGGCCACTTGACACTATAATTCAATTCAGATTTTAAACCCACTATGACGTAAAACCAACCCAATCAAGAGGTGAGCTAAACTCCAAAAAACTCAAAACCAAAGTCAGCCAACCTAAAGTAACTCTATTAAGTAACCCAAATATAAGTGTTTATTCAATCGATTCGGTTAATTTCAAATTAAATTATCTAAAATTGAATTAATTTATTTTATTTTCATTAACTAGACCAAATTTATAATTTCAAAAATTAATTGACTAAATTAAATTCAATTGGTTCGATTAATTTTTTTATCAATCAAATAATAAAATATCCTTAAGATATATTATATTTTAAAATCTTAATTTCTAATATTTGACTTTTCAAAAAAATTCTAATATTTAAAACAAACTAAATAAAATTATCAAACAAAGTACTCAAATACCAAAACATTAGGTTAAAAACTCTAACTTATAAAATAAAATACAATTCATATGTTTTTAGTTTTATATTGAGTTTTATTATATTTTGATTAATTTAGTTATCTAACAAAATTAACTAAAAATCAAAATTTCTTAAAAATCATTTTAAACAATTAATTGAAAATTAATTCAGTGATCGACTGATTAAACGAATTAATTTGATTCCATTGATTAATTCGATTTTAACCAAATCATGAACACCCCTATACCCAAAGCCTAACAAGTTGAACATGCCTAACCAGCTAACCTATTAATTACCACCTTCATTTTAGACATCTAACCATATTTTGTTAAAAAAAAAAAAAAAAAAGAACAGAAATGAAGCATCGTAACCTTTTATACATTTTTTTTCATTTTTAATTTTCTTACAAATTATTTTATTCCTTCCAATTTTACACAAACTGAACAAAGGCCTTTAATAGTCAAGAAAACCTATAAACCAATCATATCTAAACTTGTTAACTCCTTTTTTTTTTTTGTACATAAGATAGGCATAGCCCATGGGAGAAAAAGAGAAAATCTTGGTTCAAAACCAAAACCTTTATATCCTCCTAAGAGCTCTTTAGCCACTAGGCCAAAGAACTTGTTAATTCCTTTAGGTACTGTTGTCACCCTCTCCCACCCCCCCCCCCTCTCCCATCACCACTTCAAGCCAATAGTATGTTCACAAGAAAATTAAAACAAAGAATGGCTAAAACAGCTCACTCAACCTGGACCTACATTGATTACCTGGCACCTAGAAGAAAAATGAGTACCTAATGCACATCATTTTAGTAGCTTAGTTCTTGCTCACGAAATAGTCCTAGTGATAACAGATTAACATATTATACACCAATTCCTTTTACCAAACAGGAAACCTATATATCCAAACAGCATATTCCTTTAGTTTCATCCTTTAAGTTAATTCAATCAAGAAAATAATTTGCTATTTCAGTTTCAGCCTAATAGCAGAAAACCAGTCATAACTATATAAAAAGAACAAATACAACATTTTCAAGCAAGTGAAACAATGAATTAGCGCCAAACAAAATGAAGTTCTAGCATGCACAACATGGCAAACAATGCTAGGCACTACAAAATAACTTGCAACAGATCCTTTAACCCTTATTGTTACCCACAACTCTACCACTTATCTTATCCGAAATACTACAGTGGTCTATCAATTTTCATTGCAACAGGTAAGAATTTTACCCTTGTGCAGTTGTCATAATAAATATCAATAAGAAGGATATGAAATTGGGTCACTTGTGTTGTAGCGGCGTGACCTAGAGCGACTAAAGCTATCCAATGTTGCCCCTAAAACCCTTCGACTGTAATCATAATTGGTATCATTGAAATGTGATCCATACCCATTAGAGTGGTGAGATACACCAGAGGGAGGCAGCACTGGATGAAAACAAGCTTTTTAGCACTCATGTAACTCAATGGGCCAATCAGTGACACTCTCAAAAAAGAAAGGGGGGAGAGAATAGAGGAAACAAATAATAGAAGACATAATTACCTTGGGAGTGGCGTGCAGGATAATCTGGAAACCTAGAAGGCGTTGATAACCTCATTGGCAGCTGAGAGATTTCCATGTGGTTAACTAATCCAGGGTAATGCCGGGATTTGTAGGATGAATTTGAAGCGGGCAAGGCTGCATTGAGAGGGTTCTGCGAAGATTTGTCTTGCCCAGAAATCTGTTAAGAATTTCAGTCAATATTAGATGCCTATACGAACAAGCGTGAAGTAAAAGATTATGACTCACGCACAAAGGTTTATCTTTCCATTTACACAGTTGAGTTTGCCAATTTGTAACTGATTTGACATGTACTTGTTTAGAATAGGCAAACAGAATGAAAATTTTACTCTCCAATGATAAAAGAGGAAGCAAAATTTAAAATAAAATAAAATAAAGAAAAAAAACTGACCGCAAATTTCAAGGTTCGATTATAGAGAGTAACAAGGCCAGAAAAAAGCCTGACAGCATAATCGGCAATATCCTCAGTTTCGTATTCAGCAAAGGCAAATCCTTTGTGCTTATCGGTTTCCTTGTCTCGAGGGATGTATAAATCGACTACTCTCCCCGCTTGGATAAGAATATCGTACAGAACTCTGTCGCTTACCCTCTCATCCAAATTACCTTTTATTTTAATTAAAAAAAAAAAAAGAGAAAAACTCAGATATATATATATATTTCTCCTAAACTAAGCAATTCCTCTAATACATAGATAAATACACGTAGAGATTTTGATTCTTAAAGCGAAACTGACCTATGTAGACGCTGCAACCAGAATTCCCTGACATTGTTGATGGAAAACCCTAGCTACAAAAACAACGGCCAGTCGTACCAGGAGATCTTCTTTCTTTTTCTTTATCTTTATCAAAATCACGGAGACGGAGAGAGAAATTGCAGAACCTGTTTCAGTCACAGAAGAATCGAGGCTATCCAATGGTGATTCTAATACAGGTATTAACTATTAAATAGGGTATTATTAGGGATGGGAAAGGGCAATGCTCAACTCATTCCCAGTTCAGATCGCATTTGAACATCCTTGGGGCCAGATTTTCCAGCTCATTATAAAGAAAATCAAGGGTAATGAATGTGCCACGTCACAATATATACAAACATAAATAATTTTTAATTATTAAATAAAATGGGGATTTTTTTTAACGTAAAGAATATGAGTTACTCAAGCCTTAAAATGAAGTTCCTCGATCATTTGTTATTTGGATTCAAATTTATTAAAAATATATATATATATATCTTTTTATTAATATAAATAAATACGCTTAAATTGATTTTTTTAAAATGTACTGTACAAAGCTTAAAATTTATCATTAAAAAGGTAATATTAAAATTTCCAAAAATCAACACAAAATAATTTTCCGAGCAATCAACGTATATAGTCTAGATTCTAAGCCTACCTCCAATTTGATCAATTAATAAATATAGGTATATATAAGGGTAAAAATTTTGAGAAAATCAAAAAATCAATTTGAAATTATAATATTCAATTGGATTATGTCAATTTTTTTATTTGATTCAAATTAAATTTAGATATTAAAATTATTTATTAAGTTCATATAGATTTCATCTTAAAAAGTAAACAATAAAAAAATAAATCAAATTGAATGAATCAAATCATATATTTTTATTAGTTTTTATATTTTTTAAATTTTTATAAAATAAAATAATTATTTTATATCTAAATCTATTTAAATATATTAAAAGTTATATTAAAATAATATATAAAGATATAAATTTAAAAATTTTAAAAAGTGATTAGTCGAACTAAATTGATAGAATTCAATTCAAATTGGATCAATTTCAATGAAAGATCGATTTAGATTTTAAAAATTAATAATACTATATATTATATGAAAAAAATGAACCAAATCCAATTTGGTTTGAATTGTTATCACCTTTAGGTATATCTAATTTTTTGTAATTCAGGTTACCAAGATTTGAATCAATCATTGAACCTAAATGTTAACACGATTGTTGGCAAGCATATCATATCTATGATTAATTTAATTGAAGTTTCGAACATAATTATCAAAATCAAATCGAATAATGAATCGTTTAAGCTGTCAAATCACTAAGTCATTGGTTCAACCGTTTGATTAATTGGGTCAACTATTAAAACAATAAATATATTTAAAAATATAATATTATAAAAATTTAATCTATTATATGATAAATAATAAAATTCTATTATAGATAATTTCATACTTAAAAAATTAAAATATATAACATAATATAATAAGTGTGAAAAAGTATATATATATATATATAATATGTAATAAATTTAAATTACGGTGTAGACACTTAATTTTGTCTAGAATAATTTGACATTATTGATTCGAGCTAGCTCTTGCAATACCAAAACGAAAACCAAAATTGATGATTTAAAATGAGCCATTTTTTTACCCAAAATAAAAGGGCCCAAAACCAAAAAATGATGCTCGAAATTGATAAAAAGGAAAAGTCCAATTGCAAACTTAATTCGTAGCCCATCTTAAAGGCCTGTTTAAATACTAATAGGCAACCAATTTTAAAAGCCCTTTTAAAATCCAACGTGTGGCCTATAATGTAATCCTTTTAAAGGCCTTTTTACGAAGCCTTAAAGTGAAGCCCAATTCAACTTAAATCGAGCCTACTTCAAGTTTATAGAGAGGTTAAACTTATGACTCAATTACAAGCTAAAAATGAGCCTAAAATGGACTCTTGAGAATGGCCTAAAACGGGGCCCTTTTGGAAAGGAAAACCCAAATTAAAAACAATAAAGAAAAGAAAAAAGTCCAAACCCAAATGTGGAGCAAAAATTGAAATTAAAAAAAAAAAAAAAGAGGATCCCATTTTTTACACATTAATGAAGATATGTAAAAGGGCTAAGAGGACTTGGCATAAATGAGCAGGTTCCATTCTTTCTATTCACGTGAAAGCTTGCGTGCTGGTACCACTAAAAACTAGCTGAAGTTGTAAGAAAAACCTACAAAAAAAAATACTATTAATGGCTGGCAATGGGTAAGAGAGGTAAAAAAAAGAAAACAAAAGAAAGTAAAGCTTAGAAGGCAAGTAAGAGGGGATTTTGAGCTGTATAAAATGTATCAAAAAGGTTTTTTTTTAGTTAACAAGGAAAAAGACGGTTGAAAAAAAAACTAAAAAAGAAACCATCACAAAAAAAGAAAGTTTTTTTTTTTTTTTAAGAGAAGCAAGAAAAACCAAAAAGTAAAAAAAAGGTTTTTCAAAAAGTAAAATAAAAGCAAGAAGAGGGTATAAGCTTTATGAAAAAATAAAGGGGGAGAGTTTTTTGGATACATAAACAAAAAAAAACCAAAAAGTAAAAAAGAGGTTTTTCAAGGAACAAAAAAAAAAGGTTTGAAGAGATAAGAAGGAACCGAAAAGATAAAGTTATTAGCAGCTAAAAAAAAGATGGAAAAAAAGTTTGTAAAAGAAAGCTAAAAAAGGAGGATAAAAAAACAAAAAAAAAAGTGAAAGCTTTGTCAAAAAAAAAAAAAAAGAGAAAGAAAAAAGCTTTGAACTTGGAAAAAGGTAATTTTTTTGACTAAACTACCTACATAATTTCACTATCACATTTCATGCAAAGTTCAAGGTATAAAACTACTACAGTAAATGAAACAAAAAAAAAAGATTTTCAAAGTTCAAGCTTACATTGGTTTGTACTTCATGTTTAGTCCACCTCTCTTTAAAAACCAAGTAGGTTTTTCAAAATGATTGCCAAAACTAATAATTTATGCATTAAGGCTAGAAGCTTGTTCTTATTATTTGTTTTTTTCGAAACTATTACTATTCATGATTATTTTGCAAAAAATAACCTAAAGCTTCATATGTGATGCTTGTTCGATTCTTTTTTATAGGCTTGCTATTGACAATTTGAATTTTGTTTCCATGTGTGATTGGTATATAGAAGTTTATGGCTTTATCATCCTCATGTTTGTTACTCAATTTTTTGCATGACTTGTTGACAGAAACCCAAAGTTTAGTTTTTCCTTTTTCTTTTTTCATCTTTCATGGTTCTATCCTTTGTATGGTCAAGGGTTGAGAGTTAAAATTCCATCCCTTCATGTTCGTCGTTTCTTTGTTTTCTACATATGATTTATTATATTCATGAGTTGCAATAATTGTAGCATAGGATGTGGCTATTGCATTTGTTCATATAAGCTAAACATTTCAAACATAGCATGGTTACTGGCTTGATCTGGGAAGGTTTTGAATTGTAATTTCTTTCTTTTACTCATGGTTGTAGTTATTGATAGTTTAGGTTACATGTTTTTTCAATGTATGCACAAGCCATGTTTCTTATCCATTGTGCTTTCGTTCTGCTTGGAAGAAACTATAAAACCAGAGAGCCTAGGAACAAAAAAAAAAAAACTTCAAAACATTGGCATTGAGATATGTCAAAACTCCCTTTTCTCACATTTTATAACTGTAAATGAAAATAGAATTGTAGGGGCAGGATGAGATTGTTTTCAAATTGGGTGGTGGAGAGTCCTAGTTTTTATTTGCAGTTATTTTATTTTAATAATAAACCAAAGCTTCAAGATTGCCAAAAATTTACTTATCATCTATAAGGTTTATCTAATTGCATAATTTACATCATTCATGTCTAGGCACATTTCTTTCATATTGTTTTAGTTCAATTACAAATTAAATTCCATGCATTTTTATTATTTCTTTGTGGGTGAGTTTTTTTTTTATGCTCATCTTAATTTTCATACAATTTAGAATTTCATGTTCCAATTTACTATTAGAATAATTTATTTTCCATAAACTTTAGATTTATATAACACAAAATAATAAAAATAAAAATCTCTGAGGATGAGATTTTAAGAAAGTATGAGTAACGATTCTTTAAAATTTCTAGGTAAGAATATTTTTCTAAAAGAATACTACCAAAGTAATGGAGAATTTAGGAAAATATTGAATATAAAAGATTTTTTTCACTTAATTACTTTTTTTCACTTAATTACCTAAAATTATATTTACAATTAAATGGTGATATATTATATATAAAAGAGAAATAATGAAAAGGAAAAATGACACTTTTTAGTAATGATTAAATATAAAGATGCATGAATAATATGATTAATTATTTTCACTTTTTCAATAAAAATTTAATAATAATAATAATAATAATAATTAAAAATTAGAATTAGAATTAAGAATTAAATAAAAACAAGAAAGGAAAAAAGTAAATAAAATCTTTGAGGATGAGATCCTAAGAAAGTCTGAGTAGATATTCCTAAAAAATCTCTAGGTGAGAAAATTCTTTTAAAAATACTACCAAAGTATTAGGATATCTAAAAAAAGTTTCAATAAAAAGATTTTCTTTACTTTATTCATTTAAAAATTTATAATAATAATGATTATGAAATAATTAGGTGATTAAGATGAAATCAAAACAAGTAACAGAAAAGATAACATAATGAAAATAAGTAATATGTTTTTTTTTGTAAAAATATATGTAATAAAAAAATGAAATATATGAAAAAAAAAAAAAAAACTTTTGCATGCATATTACACTTTATCACTTGCATTACATAATCTTAAAAGTATCGACATTTTCTAATGATGGAACTTCAAGAAGTTCAAGTAGTAATTCTCGAGAATTTTCTAGGTGAGAAAATTTTTTCAAAAAATATTGTCAAAGTATTGAAATATTTAGAATTACTTTCAATACAAAAAAAATTTGTTTGCTTTTCATTTAAAAAAAAAATTCATACAATAGCATCATGAGTTAATCCATATGCATTATATTCTAAAAATAAATAAAATCTTTGAAGATAAGATCCTAAAAAAATCTGAGTAGTAATTCTTTAGGAATCTCTAAGTAAGAAAATTTATCTAAAATGCCATCAATATACTAAAGCATTTAGAATAATTTCGATGAAGATTTCTTGTTTTAGTATACGAAATGAATTTTTAGAAAACATTATATGATTTTTAATTATAGATATCATATTTTATAATATGCTTGGTAAATTATAAATATTGAAAATAAATGAGCAGTTGAGAATAAGATTTTTGAGAATTTTAGGTAGTGATTCTTAAGAACTCTATAAGTGAGA